GGAGGCATCTGAGTCATTAGCTATCATCTTTGAAAAGTCAGGGAAGTTGGGAGGGATTCCAGAAGACTGGAAAAGGGCAAATACAGTGCCCATCTATAAAAAGGGAAATAAGAACAACTCAGGAAACTACAGACCAGTCACCTTAACTTCTGTGGCTGGGAAGATAATGGAGCAAATAATTAAGGAATTCATCTGCAAACATCTGGAAGATAAGATGATAGGTAACAGTCAGCATGGATTTGTCAAGAACAAATCCGGTCAGACCAATCTGATAGCTTTCTTTGATAGGGTAACAGGCCTTGTGAATAAGGGGCAAGCGGTAGATGTGATATACCTAGACTTTAGTAAAGCATTTGATACAGTTTAACCATAACCTTCTTATAAAAAAACCTAGGGAAATATGACTTAGATGGGGCTACTATAAAGATGGGTGCTTAACTGGCTGGATAACTGTTCTCAGAAAGTAGTTATTAACAGTTCACAGTCATGCTGGAAGGGCATAACAAGTAGGGTTCCGCAGGAGTCAGTTTTGGGACTGGTTCTGTTCAATATCTTGATCAACAATTTAGATAATGGCATAGAAAGTACTCTTATAAAGTTTGCAGATGATACCAAGCTGGGAGGGGTTGCAAGTGTTTTGGAGAATAGGAGCATAATTCAAACTGATCTGAACAAACTAAAGAAATGGTCTGAGGTGAACAGGATGAAGTTTAATACGGACAAATATCAAGTACTTCACCTAGGAAGGAACAATCCGTTTCACACATACAGAATGGGAAGTGACTGTCTAGGAAGGAATACTACAGAAAGGGATCTAGGGGTCACAGTGGACCACAAGCTAAATATGAGTCAACAGTGTGACTCTGTTGCAAAAAAAGCTAACGTGATTCTGGGATGCATTAACAGGAGTGTTGTGAGCAAGACATCAGAAGTCATTCTTCTGTTCTACTCAGCACTGATTAGTCCTCATCTGGAGTATTATGCCCAGTTCTGGGCACCACATTTCAGGAAAAATTTGGAGAAATTGGAGAGGGTCCAGAGAAGAGCAACAAAAATGATTAAAGGTGAACAAAACATGAGCTCTGAGGGAAGACTGAAAGAACTGGATTTGTTTAGTTTAGAAAAGAGAAGACTGAGAGGGGACATAATAGCAGTTTTCAAGTACTTAAAAGGGTGTTATGAGGAGGAAAGAGAAAAATTGTTTTCCTTGGCCTCTGATGACATGACAAGAAACAATGGGCTTAAATTGCAGCAAATGAAGTTGAGGTTGGACATTGGGAAGAACTTATTAACTTTCAGGGTGGTTAAACACTGGAATAAATTGCCTAGGGAGGTTGTAGAAACTGTCGCTGGAGATATTTAAAAACAGGTTAGACAAACATCTATCAGGGTTTATATAGATGGTGTTTGCTTGCTGTCAAGGCAGGGAACTAGACTTGATGACCTCTCAATGTCCCTTCCAGTTCTAGTATTGTATGATTAGCAATATTAGAACTGAAGGACACATGTATTTACATTTCAAGGTCTTGAATTGATACAACTTTGATGTAAGTTAATTAGGAAACTGGAAAAAAGTAATTCAATACATATTTATGGGTGGTTCAGATGAAGACTTTAAACACACACACCCCAAATAACAAAAGAAAACTTTGGAACATATATGTTTTAAGTAGCACATGTGTTTCCTTGCCTCTCCAACACACATTACAATGAAAGTTGTACTTTGCTGAACAGAGTGAACAAAAACATATGCCTATCTTAAAGTGATCTGCCAAATTGGGGATTCTGGATGAGGAGGGTAAAAAGGTAGAGAAACCAGTGCAATTGTACTCCAAAGGGTGAAAGGGCAGGATTTGGAGAACTCGTGCAAGGGGGAAAAGTTTCAGATAGGTAGCTCTGTTAGTCTGAAACTTTAAAAACAATGAGCAGTCTTGTGGCACCTTAGGTTACATCTACACTACCAGGTTATTTTGAAAGTAGTTATTTTGAAATAAACTTATTTAAAAATAGTTATTTCGGGAGTTATTCCTCTTCACAAGCAGGAGTTATTATTTCAAAATAACAAGCCTATTATTTCAAAATAAAAGGCTTTGTAGAGCGGACCAAGTAGACATGCCCTTAGAAACTAACAAATATATTTAGTCATGAGCTTTTGTGAGCATAAGCATCTGATGAAGTGGGTTTTACCCATAAAGGCTCATGACTTAATGTATTTGTTAGTCTCTGTGCCTATGTCTACACTGCATGCTTATTTTGAAATAACAGAGTGCGCGTCTACACAGCAAGCCCATTATTTTGAAATAATTTCAAAATAACGGGCTTCTTACTCCAACTTCTGTAACCCTCATTTCAAGAGCATTCTTCCTTCAACTTCCTGCTGTGTAGATAGCACCAAAAGCTGAATTAACAAAACTGACGTAGCTGAAGTTGCATATCTTAACTCAACTTTAGCTCACAGGTGCCACAGGATTGCTTGTTGTCATGCAAGGGAGTCATAATTACTTTGCTGAGGACAGTTCTGTAGGGATTCTCTATGCCCCAGCCCACAGGCTATGCTCGGAAGGGGGTGGAGGAGTGGAGAAGGGTACAAATGGGGCTTGGTGGGTCTGAGACTATGGAGATCCACTGGTTACTGCTTCAGCTACAGATCAGGGCTTAGACGTTGCATGGATTACCATAGAGTGACTCACCCTCAAAAATGTGGTGGAACTCATTGGTGCAGGGTCTCAAGCTGCTCCTAACATGAAAATTTGTTCCTAAATGCAAAACAATTAGATCACTGCACAGAAATGAATATTCAGTTAAGTCCACTCTGGTCATATGTACTGGTAAAAGCTACAAAAGTACTTGCATCACCAACATTTCTTACTTCTATCTAGTGCAATGTACCTGATGCATCTGTCAATTTACTGATTTATATGCCATTTATTGGTATTGTAGCTTCTGAACAAATAGCTAAATTAAGTGCTGATTTCCCACTATTACAATGCTGGTGACTTCAGCACTGCACAGGCTGTCAATCAGTGCAAAATTTGGTGAATGATAAAGGGTGGCACTGGCCACCATGACACCCTACTGCCGGGACCACTCCTCTCTGCCCCAGGCCTATCTCTCCTCCCTTGCTGCACCCCTTTCCCTGTGTCTTCCCCCAGCTAATGCAGCCCGGGTGACTAGCTGGCAGAGGTGAAAGTGAGCGGGTGCGCTCTGGTGCACAGCTCCGGCAAGAGCTGGCTGAGCTGCAGCAAAAGCCAGCAGGGAGCTATTGAAGAGCTGGCAGGGACCCGGGTTGAAATAGGACAGCACCTGTAAGACATTTTACGTTACTTTCACCGCTGCAGGATTGGGGGGCCAGCCTTTGCAGCTGTAGATTGCCCCCCCACAACCCCAGATTGCTGTCATTTCATGTTGTTCCACTTCCCGCCAGAGAGCGTGGGAAGCACTTCCCCCCTCTCCCAGGCAGGGCGCTGGAATAGCAGAGCAAGCAGGAGCTGCATTGCTCCACTTTCTCTGCCGCTGCCAGTGAGTGCAGGGAGGTTCTATGACTCCACCTGCTGCTAGCTGGCCCTTGCCCCTCCCATCCATGGCATTTGGGGGGCATGTTCCCCTTTCCCCCGTGTTGTCCCTGATTTGGCCCACTGGACCTTTTAATTCTCTCAAGACCCCTCTGTATCCAAAATCCCAGTTAACTGCAATGGGAGTTTGAGTGAGCAACGAGCTTTTTATCTTATAATAGACACAAATGAGCTTGAATCGCATTTTCATTGAGGCAACAGTACACCTCATTGACTGCATGAGAGGATTTTAAAGTGGGAGCAGGTATATATGCACACTTTATGGACCCTTTACAATGCTAGAGCTGTATAAAGTGGCCTTTATGTCGATGAGATTTGGACACATATTATGCTTAAACCTTAAAGATTTGTTAAGCTCAGACACAGTCCAAAGCTAATATGTCTACATATATTAACAGGAAAAGAAGAAAAAATAAAATCCTGCAGATTCTGCAACTTGAATTTCAGCCTCCTTACTTTCTTTTACCCTGGTCAACATGTTTTACTAAAATCTTTTTAAGCATGCATGCATTTACTAGTTTGTCATAATTCAATTTTATTTACTTTTATGGTAGGAACACATCTTTAATTCTGGAAAGTCCTGTAAATGTAGATTAATTTACATGTTGTTGCATTTCATCTTACCACTAATAAGCTTAAAAATTATAAAAGAAACAGTGGCATGTCCAGCTCCGTGCAAACAATGGGAATAGATATAACAGGAACTAGTTCATTTCCTAATGAATCTGAACACTTGAAATCATCATGTACATGTATAAAGTCATTGGCTTTACAATAAAATGATCTAAAGGACTGAAACACATCAAAAAGGTGAAACAAAGTACTTGAGTGTATATTTTCTATGCCATACAGAATTAATGCTATATAGGATAAAAAAAACCAAATGACTGCAATGAAGGGTTGGAACAGTACATATAAGTAAAATAGATTTTTCAGAAGAACTACATAGGTGGTATGGTAATGAGTACACTTCAGCCAACTAAACAGAACAGAACACAGTGTTGGAAAAAAATGAGTGTATAAAACAGTCAATGAACAGGGAAACTTTCCTTTTCAACAACAATCCCCCATCTCCCACCCCCGGTCAGATGTTTACTATGGTAGAAAACAGGACGGAAGATACGAATTACCCATACGCAACACCTACGAATGCTTGACATTTAGTCAACTTTTGTCTTGTATTTTTTTCCTTTGGGTACAGGTTGTTTCCAGATCTCACGGGGACAACTGTCATTAACCATGGTATAAAAGAGCCCGTCACAATAATTTTGTTGTTTTGATCACAAAGGAAGGTAGATACCGTCTACCTAATTTTTGCATACTAAACTGCATGTATACATTGTTGCTGACATGCCCAACTGAGCTGTGGTTTGTGTATTTTATGATCAGCTACTCAAGCTATTTTCCGGTGAGAGTGCCAAACCAAATCTTTGACAGCATTCGGATGATAGAAGAGAGTGACAAGCAGACATACTAAAATGGTAAGGAGGATACTGAGTATGCATGAAGTCTGATTTATAATATTCATTGCTCTGTTGTGATAACTGTACTATGCAAGACAAATATATCATTTTTAAATTGATTTTCTTATAGAGAATTAAAACTGCAGTGGCTTGCACCTGTGCCATCCTCATGGTTTTTCTTATCGTTGAATCTTGGTGTGCTCCAAAGGTAATATTTGGGTTCAAAATGCCTCGGCATGACTACGAGAAGATTCATTTCTAGCCAAATAATGTGTACTTTGTTTTTGCAATTTGCAGAACAAATTAATAGCAAGAAATTGGGGCCCACAGTCAATGCTATACCTCAAAGGACGATGTAAGTAAGTTAAAATCATTTTCACAGTGAGATTAAATGCTTAGTTGGACTAGAAATTAGTTCTGAAATTGAATTAATATGCATTTGTTAAGATACCATATGAAATAAAAACACTAATAAGTTAATAAAGCAGTTTTATTATATGAAATTTGTATCACCCTGAAATATACAGATTAATCTACTGTGTAAGGCTATCCTAATACCAGAGTAGTGGTAGATTTTTCATGTTATGTACAAATTCTGTTAGAAATTACTTTTCTACAAATACCATAGTCAGTACCTATTTGGCTATATTTTGCTACCGGTAGAATGACCCCATGCATTCCAATGAAGGATTGTAAATTTCATTTTAATTCATATTTTAAAAAAAATCATAGTAAGTAAATACATATTTTGTTTGGTTGATTGTGAGAGAATCTATAAAGTAAGCAATCATCTACTTTTATTAAATAACTAGAAAAATACAAGAACTAACAAGAGGTGGACAATCTGAGAATGAAGTTGCCAATGTTTCACAACTGAATATCACAGAGTAGGCAGCACAATTTAGTTATATCTTTGAAAACAAGCCATCTGAATTGATGAGGAGTGACAAAAGGTACCTGAAGTAAAGAGGCTTAGCATTACACCTACCCAATGTCTTCCTATGTTATCTGGATGACATTTGCACTGGAGAAAGCTGTGGCAAGATCTGAAATGCTCTTTCAGGTTTGGAAGAAGTTTATAAATGACACCGTGGGAACAATATGCTTCTAGAGAGTGATGACAGAAGTTCATTCATAATTATTGTGAGCTTTTAGAGTCATTAACCTCTGAAACCTGCTTTACTTAAGAATTTGTTGTCTCTGTGATTAAAGGTTGAGATGTTAATGCAGATAATTTTGGAATGAATCAAATAGGACAATTTGGCCCTGCTTGACTGATGAGCAATTGGTGAGCCTGGTTTACACAGCCACAGGAATGTTTCCCAGTGTACGTGGCATAGAACCAATCACAGAATTCTAGAACTGGAAGGGACCTCAAGAGGTCATCAAGTCCAGTCCCCTGCCTTAATGGCAGCACGAAGTACCATCTAGATCATCCCTGACAAGTGTCTGTCTAACCTCCTCTCTTCAATATCTCCAGTCATAGAGATTCCACAGCCACCATAATGGTTTTTACTTCAACCCCACCTCCTTCTGGTGGCCAATACCAGGGACATAGCTAGAGGAAGGAGGAAATTAGCATAGTTAACCTGTTCCCAGGGATCCTCAGTTATCATAATGACCCCTGGGCCATTGGTGCAAGTTAGAGCACTCTTCAGGCTGTTCTAATCTGTGCCAGAGAAGCAGTCCAACATCCAGGATCAGAGCAACTCAGAGGTATTTACAATCACTTTTACACTCCTACTTCTCCTGACAAATTCTAAGAGATCTTTGGCTGGACTCCAGATTTTTTTTTCCTAGAGAGGTTGCGTTTATACTACTGCAGGGTCATGGTTCCATGAAATGGTTCATTTTCTTGCTTGTCATGAAGATGGTTTGATATTTTCATACAGGAATATTTTTGGACTAAACTGTTTTGGTGTGCCCATATGCAAAATGGTTTACAACCATGGTTGTACTATACCAAGTGCATTCTAGGGCTACAAAAGGTTCTTTCCTATAACAAGGAGCCGCTTTGCTAGGAGCAGAGATGCCTGGGTAATTTCCATCTACAAAGTACTGCATTGTAGGGCATCCTTTGTCCTAGAACTGCAAGCAACCAAGACTTGTCTGTGTGGCCACAAGGCATTGTACAGGCTTTACAAACTCAAGTAATGGTTTGTTGCAATTCCTTTTTGACTAGTTGAGACCAGGTCAGAGAAGTGAAGTGACCTGTCTGACACCAAATGAAGTCAGTGTCAAGATTCAGGAATTCCTAGCTCTCTTCCTCAGCTCAGCAAATCACAATGTTCTCACACACACACACTGAATATTTATAATAATCAACCCATACCCATAGTTTGTTTTGATGATGGACTGATAAAGCATCTTCACTGGTAACGTCTCTTTTTTCATTTTTAACAGACGGTAGAAGATATGTTTCTGACAGTGAAAAGCAATATACCAACCTTGACCTGGAAGACTTGAATGCAGTATTAAAAAGTAATTTTAAAAATATAACAAGCAAATAAATCTGCCATAAGAATTTATTTATCAATTTTTAAAATGTTACGCAGTCAAACAAATTTATTGTTCTGCAGGCAAAACCCTTCCGGGTAATTCCTCAACTGCTGTAAATTGGCATTAATCCATTTGAAAATTTGCACGAGCTGATGATCTGTCCCGGGGGGAGGGGGGAAGGGGGAAACTGAGAGGAGGAGCAGAACTCAGGCAGGATTTTCTACAATGTTCAATAAAGCTAAGCCTACTGCCAGTGAACCATTAACTTTAATGGGGCAGAGTTAGCTCAGCACACAGTGCTGTGGCGGTACAACCAGTTCTTAGCATAAGGCAAACATTTATAAATAGAAGTTAGTTTGGACTTACAAAAAGGCAGGGGGCAATCTTCTGTACATCCTGGAATCTGCCGAGGTGGGGTTGGAGCAAGGCAGAGAGAAGGGAGTTGCAGGAGGAGATGGAGGAACAGATGAAATGGTGGTTGTATTGTACACAAAAGGTGATAATGGATGTGGCAAGAGGCAGGGCTGCACATGCTCATACCTCCTCCACCAAGCCATACACTGCCGCCGCATACTAGTTTTGGGATTTTTTCAAGATTTTTCCGCATCGCCATTGGTTAATTAATTAATCAATCACGTAAGTACTTTAGCAATAATCGATAATTAGTACTACTGGTATTCATTTCACTTGATGCAGGAAGAACAGTGAAGCTCAGAGCCCAGGTTGATGCCAAATTTACAGACCGTGAATGTTACTGGGAAAACTACAGGCTTAGTTTGTGACATAAGAATCATTCCCATCAAGCATGCTGTAGCATTACAGGATATGGGATAACTTAAAACACAACAAACTGTCCTGCAGCACAAAACATGTAGCTGGTATCATGAGCTTTCATGGGCACAACCCACTTCTTCAGATGAGTGGAGCATGGGGTCCAGAGTTACAAATACATAGCAGAAAAAGGAGGATGAGAAGGGAAAGA